TTGTAGATGGGGTGTGCTCATGCACACTGGACGCTTTGGTCATCTGTCCTTTCCCCCTGGCAGCAGCGTTTAGGCAGAAAAAAATGCTTGTCCATGCATGTAACGTGTTTAGACACGCCAAGCTTTTGGGCATTCATTTATCTAATTGGCCAGAATAATAATTTATTCTGGCAATTGAAATGAATTAACGCTCAAGTGCTAAAAGCACCAAGCAATAATGCACATTCAGGTAAGCTGATTATGCTGCTTTTCCTTTGTGTACAGACATTCTGTGATCTGTCTAGAGCAACTTGTGTTAAAGTATCTTTTTTTTTTAGTTTTTGATACAGCATTTTAGTTTTGGATTTGCATATCGGTCAAGTTTTCATTGCTGTGTTCCTGCTAGGGAGATTCACCCCCTCGATTTGTTTTAGTCGTCACTGTTACTGGGACTAAAAGTGTTGGAAAATTAAAAACTTTAATTTACCATCACAACCGGAACAGAGGAAAGAAATCTTTCAATTGAAACATTTGTGACAGCTAAGGAATTTCCTCACTTTAGAGATATATCTTCTCTCTTCATATTGTGTCTGTAGGACAGGAAGAGAAATCTTCCCAATGGTACCCAGACAGTGGAAAAAAAAAAAAAAAACTCACAGGGATTTACTTCTTACACCACTTTATCCAAAACTAAAAAAAAGAAGAGATTTAAAAATATTTTAAGAAATCTTAGCAAGTAATAGATCACACATTCATGTTCAGACACCTTAAAGACTACACATATTTTGAATGAAGCTGCCCTGCACTGGTGCACTACTCGATGGCCTCCACAATACCAGAGATTGGATCGTAGAAATACTTCCAACATTTGTAGATTGTATGAATTTCTACAATGTAAACTGTGCTAGCATTCAATAGAAAACTGACATTTTAGCAGCTTGAGTTCCCGGGCCTTTTTATCACGAAATCCCTTTAAGTCCCAAAGCGTTATTTTTTTTATTTTCTGCACACTATACCTTTTAGGTTTTGTAAGCTACCCTAACGTAAAATAATTTTTTTTTTGGGACAGGACTTAATTTGGTGCCAAAAATGGATACATTTTTGTAAATGCATTGGTCTATAATTATTTCCAATGCAACATTTTTGTAATTTGCACACCCCTATATATTTCTAGAATATAATCAACAAAGTTTACTGATTAACATGATATAACAGTAGTGTGACATCTATGTAATGTAGTGGAATGGAAAAACTAAAAATGACCGTATACCTATTTACTTTAAGAGAGCTTTTCCCCCCTATAAAGCTACTCTATGATACATGAAGGGGAAAAAAACTGGTTACATAAATTGCTAGCATAATATGAACCCACTGCTAGACTTTCAGCAATACAAATTAAAGTTGATCGTTAACCTTTTCACTGCCATGGTCTTTTTTTTGCACACATATTAAATCTACATTTTTTTACTTATAAATGCATGTAACCTTAGAGAATAAAATTATGGTAGCTGCAGTTTTTTTATGTTTATCGATATTTTTGCATCTGCAAGCCTATATGTTCAGTAACAAAATACACTCAGATTAATTTTAGTGCACACAAAACACAATAGATTTTCCAATGTGTGTGAAATATACAAGAAGTGACCAAGTAGAATAAAAAGATACCAAATGTGCAAGGACTCAAAATTCTATACACCCGCAACAACACTGCAGAAGTACAATACGTCAATTATCCATAAGCGATGCTTTAAAGTGATATTAAAGTCTAACTTTATTATTCATTTTCAGGGTCCTAGGAAAGGGGCTAATGCTGAATGAACATACATCCATACAACCACACAGCCCATGTAAGCCCCTTCTACCCCCTACTCCAAGCAGACTGGCTGCCATTCCTGTACTGTTCCCTGTGCACTCTCACCCAAAAGGAAGTTCGAGGAAGCTGTGCTAAGGGACCCCAGAGCCAGCTGCAGTGAATAGGGACCATGTTAAGTGTTTGTACCAGATACTATGCATTGTAAATGGTGGGGAATGTTTACCACAACAACATTTAGGACTCGTTCACACCAGCTGCAGCCCAGTGTACCTGATATGAATTATCTGACATGAGATATCCATCATAAGTGTGTCATACACGCTTGTGCATATGTGAAGGGACAGAATCTTTATTGCAGCAGATGTCAATAGTAAGTTAATGACACCCCAAAACGTAGTGAGTAGATCACATGGTACAAAAGTAGATAAGGCACTGAATGAGTTTAATTACCACCTTAATTAGCCACAGAACCTGGGTAATTAATGTGTTTGGGTTTAAAGGGATGAGGTGGCAACTCTATAATACATAGCTTTCTGAAAGCATTGCAGCATCTTGCCTCACTACTCTTTTCAAAATCCCTCAGCCCTGATGCAAGCAGTGGACTGGCTCTTGGGAAGAGTCACAGCGGGTAAAATAAGTTTTGAACACGTCATCATTTTTCTCGGTAAATATATTTCTAAAGGTGCTATTGACATGAAATGTTCACCACATGTTGGTAACAACCCATGCAATCCATACATACAAAGAAACCAAAACAAAAGTTCAGAAATGAAGTTGTGTGTAATACAATGGAATGACACAGGGAAAAAAGTACTGAACACGAGAAGAAAGGGAGGTGCAAAAAGGCATGGAAAGCCAAGACACTAGCTGAAATCTATCAGTAATTAGAAAGCAATGCTGCCCCTTGTCAGTGCAGATTAATATCAGCTGCTTCAGTCTCAACTGATGGCCTATAAAAAGGTGTTTCTCATTACTAAGGTGTCACACAAAATATCTCATGATGGGTAAAAGCAAAGAGCTCCCTCAAGACCTTTTCAACCTTATTGTTGCAAAACATACTGATGGCATTGGTTAGAGAAGGATTTCTAAACTTCTGAATGTTCCAGTGAGCACTGTTGGGGCCATAATCTGAAAGTGAAAACAACATAATTTCACCATAAACCAACCATGACCAGGTGCTTGTCGCAAGATTTCTAACAGAGGAGTGAAAAGAAATATCAGAAGATTTGCCCAAGAGCCAAGGACCACTTGTGCAGAGCTTCAGAAAGACCTGGAATTAGCAGGTACAATTGTTTCAACGAAAACAATAAGTAATGCACAAAACTGCCATGGCCTGTATGCATGCTCACCACGCAAGACTCCATTTTGCTGCAGAAAAAGCATGTTGAAGCTCGTTTAAAGTTTGCTGCACAACATTTAGACAAGCCTGTGAAATACTGGGAGAATATAGTCTGGTCAGATCAGACCAAAATTAAACTCTTTGGATGCCATAATACACGCCATGTTTGGAGGTCAAATGGCACTGCACATCACCCCAAAAACACCATACCAACAGTGAAGTTTGGAGGTGGGAACATCATAGTGTGTGGCTGTTTTTTTACCATACATTACTGGCAAATTTCAAATCATTGAAGGAAGAATGAATGGAAAAATGTACCGAGATATTCCTGATAAAAATCTGCTGCCATCTACCAGGATGATGAAGATGAAACGAGGGTGGAAATTTCAGCAAGACAAATGATCCCAAACACAAAGCCAAGGAAACTCAAGTTGTTTCAAAGAAAGAAAATAAAGCTGCTAGATTGGCCCAGCCAATCACCTGACTTGAATCCAATAGAAAATCTATGTAAAGAACTAAAGATCAGAGTTCACAGAAGAGGCCCACGGAACCTTCAAAATTTTGAAAACTATGTGGAAGAATGCGTTAAAATCACACCTGAGCAATGCATGCGACTAGTTTCTCCATACAGGAGGCGCCTTGAAGCTGACATTACCAACAGAGGATCTTGTACGAAGTATTAAATAAGTTTCAGTTAGCGTGTTCAATACTTTTCCCTGTGTCATTCCATTTTATTACACATAACTTAATTTCTGAATCTATTTATTTTTCCTTTGTATGTATGGATTTCATGGGTTGTTACCAACATGTGGTGAAAATTTCAAGTCAATAGCACCTTTAGAAATATATTTACTGAAAAAAATGGTGACGTGTTCAATACTTATTTTACCAGCACCTGAAAGAAAGCCTACTCTGAGACGGAGTTATCCCTGCTCACAATACAATACAAGTCCTGGCCTGGGGAGAAAGGGTGGCGTAGCAGGATGTGATCAAGTAAATGACCACCAATGCGGGGAGTGGGATTTAATGATCACGTCACACAGCCTTGACCACCAATGCGGGATATTGAGGGTTGGGTTAATTTTCACTCCCATGACCACAAACGAATGGTGTAGGAGTTAAAGCTACAGACCACCAATGCAGGGAGGTTTAAAGGCAATGACCATTAATTGGGGGATTACATAATTAAAAATTTAACTTCCAGTGACCACCAATGTGGGTTGCAGGTTAATGGCACTAAAACCAGTGCTGGAAGCTATTATTACATCCACTGACACTAATGTTGGGGGTTTTTAGTGCGTTCATGGACACCAATGCTTGGGGCTACAATTGACACCAATGCCAGAAGTTGCTATTACATCCACTGACACCAAAGTTGGTAGTTATTATTACACTCATTGACACCTTTGCTGAGGATTATTACTGCATCCACTGACACCAATTCTGGTGGTTATCGCATCCATCAAGACCAATGTTGGGGACTATTACTGCATCCACAGACACCAATGCTAGGGGGCACTATTGCCTCCACTGACACCAGTGTTGGGGGTTATTACTGCACATACTGACACCTATGCTGGGGATCCTCACTGCATCCACTGACACCAATGCTGGGGGTTATTTGCACCTCAATGCACAGCCCTGGAAGTGTTGGGGCCACACCTGAGACCTTCTATCATTTTCAAGCTGACCACCATTGCTTCAGATGGACTGAGTATGGTAACCTTTCCAGCTACTGAGAGATCTTTAGCCATCATCATACATCTCATGATGTTTCTACAATAAGCTTCTATGGATCATGAAATCTGCTTGTATTAATAAGAATGACAGTTATTTTTCATTTGGAAAATCAGTGGTGCTTCTAATTACCTGCATTCAGATGTGCTCTACTGCGTGAACAAAGAATGGCATTAAATTTGGACTCATCAGTCCCCAGGCGTTTTTCTCCTGCAGCATACAGTTCCTGTAAATACATAATTAACCTGGTAAAGAATACATACATACAGTTGTGTTCATAAGTTTACATAACACTGGCAGAATTTGTAAGATGTGGCCGTATTTTTAAGGCCCCTTTCACACAGGGTGTCTAGCCCCTGTGCTTCCAACCCTGGCAATTTAATGTGTCTGCAGAGGCACAGGTGCAGAGCCCAGCCCCACTGCATGCAGCATGTCAGTCTATTTTAGGCTGAAACACACTTTGGCTGGATGAGGCTTAATGACGTACCAAGTGGTATTCGCACTTAGCACCCTATATATTCAGGGGCGGATGCCAAGTATTCTGCACCCCAGACATTAGTCCCTGAACGTACAGGGAGCCTAAATGCAAGTGCCACTCGGTACAGCTTTCAGCCCTTATCAAGCAGCTGTGTATTTCAGCCTGCCAAATATTTTTGTTCCAGATGTTTTGAGAGTTCTCTAGGTGCTATTTAGTCTATTGTAATTGGGCTATTTTGTGCCACTGGTTCAATAAAAAGGGTTAAAATGTAATGAATGCTGATGGGGGCATATACATTTATTAACACAACTGTATACATTCTGCTGTGTCTGGATCAGAGCAATTCTAAAAATCTACTGAATGGCAGCAGCAAACCTGGTGTAGACAGGGAGATACTGAGACCAAAGTGGTCTTGCTTGTAGTACAGCTATGATACAGTATACAGAGAATACCTAGCTTTTCATGTTACGTACTGTTGTTGGTTTTTACAATAAGGGGGTGGGGTAGGGAATATTACTCATGTTGTTTGATGCTCACCTGTACATCGCGTTGGACCAGAGTCATGTCTACATTCGAGCTCTCGTCTCTGTTTCCCTATAAAGCAAAAGAGGTTCCCAATCTGGAAAAAGCTAAACTTGAAAGTCTTAACTATATCAAGAAAGTAAAATTAATATTTTGCAGTTTAACAGTCCTTAGATGTAGTGACAGCATTCATTTCCTTTATATATAATCGGATAGTCCTGCTAATAGCACAATTTCTGTCCCTGGGTGGCTACACTCATTCCTCCACCAACTATGGAGGAAACCATGGATGTCACACAGGCTGAACTTCAAACATGTCTGCCTTTGTTCAAATCCATTACATGGACAATGGGGGAATCCGTTTTTCACACAATAAAGATAATATTGTTTAATGCTTCCAGTTCAACTCACATGGATTGACAAGGGCAGTGTATTTTTGGCAATCAACAGACTTTTTTTTTATCTTTGCTGAAAATAATTTTAGCATGAAAAATGAAAATCAAAAGTAGTCACCACAACTAAGGACTATATATTACCTTTTATTTGCTTCCCCCTAAATCTACAAATTTGTAGATGCATTTCCTAGTGGTCCTCTGTATATAGCTTCCTAATATACTTATCAATAATTATACGTTATCAGTAATTATTGTAGGTTTTTACATCATCTTACATCACTTCTAAATGAAAACAATAGACTCTCCGCTCAGACAGAGGGAACAGGATACTACTCTATGATCAATATAATTCTTCAGGTTAATCTCCATAAGGACCCCTGGGAAGCGCTTCCATACAAACCTGGTGAAAATGTTCACTCAATATACCGCACAAATTTGGAAATGCTAGACCTGGATCTTTGTGCCAAGCCTGGTTCTCAGCACAGACTCCGTAGGGCTCTATACCCCCCACTCCTCCTTTTCTTTCTTCAATTTCTTTTTGTGGACCCTTGTACACGGGTGTCGTAAGTTCCTGACTAAACATCAGTAAATTATGATGCAAGGGGTCTAAACGAGTAAACAAGCAGGGAAATCGCTGCTCTTAACTGCTTGCCCGCCGCCCTATAGCAGAGCTACTGCTGGCACCCGGCGATCGCCGAGTATCACTGACAGGGGAGAGGTCTGTATGTAAAACAATACAGATCTCTCCCGTCAGTGCCAGCACACTGCTTTGTATTACTCTGCATAGCAGAACAATACAAAGCAATGTGCTTACACAGTAAAACACAGCACACAGTAAAACAGCACACAGTTACCCCTTGGATCGCCCCAGATGTTAACCCCTTCCTGCCCAGTGCCATTAGTACAGTGTCAGTGCTTTTATTAGCATTGATCACTGTATTAGTGTCACTGGGGATGTCAGTGACAGTTAGTCACTGACACTGGGCCCCCCCCAGTGTCAGTATCGAGGTTAGGGGATGTGTATAATTTTGAACAATGAAATCCCTGCATATAGCTTCTCTAGATAAAGAATTAAAGACTCTCTCATCTGACAGTTTCCCTCAAGAGTTGGTTCTGGCCAGCTCAGTGGATTGCTTTAAAAAAGGCCTGGATTCTTTCCCAGATACACAGAATATAACTGGATACTAACATTTATAGGTAAAATTGATCCAGGGAATATCTGATTGCCTCTCGGGGGATCAGGAAGGAATTTTGTCCCTGCAGGAGCAAATTGGATCATGCTTTGCTGGTTTTTTTTTTACCAATCTCTGGATCAACTGTGGGTGTAGGATTATAACTTTTGTTGGTTGAACTGGATGGATTTTGTCTTTTTTCAGCCAGACTAACTATGTAACAAGAAGTCTTTCCTAAGCCAAGTGTTTGTGTTTAAGTACGCATTATGAGTTAAAAATGATGGTGTAGGCTGCATCTGTCCTCTAATGTCTATACCTTTACCCACAAAAGGTAACAGAGTGGCACCTCTCAAGTAATACAGGGAATCTGCTAGCTCATAAATGCATATTGTAGATACATGGCTAGGTGGACATCCAGAGATCACCTCGAGTCCAGCCACAATTGTAGGATTCATATAATTTATCTATATTTTACCAAAGCTACATGCAACTGTTAGGCACACTGGTTTTGGACTTTAAACACTATGCCGAAAAACACAAACACTCACAAGTACAGCTGAGCTAAAGATTTTATGGACTCTAACAGCAAAAAAGCCAGTCTCCAGTGCTGATATGATACTGAATAAAAAGTAGACAGTTCTGCTATTCTAGGGTGGAGGACATGTCATTCTAGCAAGAGATGCAATAAATACCATTTCTAGATGTTATCTTATTCACAGACCAGGCTATTTGCTCAGCTGTTTTAATTGGCTTCCCAGCAAAAAAACCCGCAGACACCTCTCACATGGCCACTCTTTAATCTCCCCTGGCTGAAAAAACATTCTAAGGAGAACAAGGTAGTCCATGGTCATTTTACAGCATACAGTTATACACATGGTAAGCACCATTTCTGGAATACATAAAGAAAGCATCAAAAAGCAAATTATACAATTACCTGACAAAGTGAAACAAGTAGCCGCTCGAAGTGGCCAGAAGTATCACTCTTCAGTGCTTGCTCTAGGGTCTTCTTAAACTCTGAAGAAGAAACACGCAAAAAATAAAGCCAATTGTCATATGAAATCCCCATCCAAACTGAGAACGTGCAAGACTCAGATGTAACAGGCCACTAAGCCTCTCTCTGCTGTGCTCAATTATAAAGTACCAGGCTTTAAAATGACCCTGTCATTACATGGTTGATACTGAATCAAAGCCCACCTGTAAAAGATGTATATACTTTTTGGGCAGGCTCTGTGTTCAGACTCCCCTGCAGGTATTCAACATTTCTAGGTGTGTGAATACTTGCTCCCCCCTCAAGACATTTTGTATATTCCTCCCACTGGCTCATATGTCCTTACAGGACATACAAGAGGAAAGGATGAACCACAGCATGGCAGGGGAACATACCCAGAAGTGTTTGATGAAACAAATATGCAGAGCCTGGCAAAAGGAATATCCTATAAAAATGATCAGTAGTGTCACTACAGACGATCATTTATACGGAGTGGGGAGAGCAAAGATCCAGCCCATAGCTTTAGCTGTACAGAGATCACGGTGGCAGAGGAGCTATAGGAGTCAGAGCAGGCAGAGCTGTCAGTGGTGTTGGAGCCTGGATGGTGGTCGTACAGAACTGTGGGGCTGCAGTCCGACCGTGTGCACGCTGTGAAGAGGTCTGTGGAACGTCTTCTGGGTAGCCAAGAGGGGAGATAGTTGTTAGGCAACGCGTTTTGGAGGTAATCACTGTTCTCAAATCTTATAGGTTTCCTATCAACCATCTCCACTTCTTGGCTACCCGGAAGTGGTTCCCCAGACCTCTCCACATTGTACACAATGTCAGACTGCAGCCACTGACAGATCTCTCTGGTTTGACAACAGTGGCTTCTCTGTCACAGCAATTCCTGTACAGCTAAAGCTATGGGCTGGATCCTTGCTCTTCTCCTGACCTGTAAGTGATCCTATGTAGTGACACTACCCCTGATCGTTTCTTGGGGATATTCCTTGCGCCGGACTTTGCTTATTTATCATATCTCTAATATTAATTAGGCTTTTTCCTGGCCATTTGATAGCCCTGACCTTTCACCTTGTTTGCATGTCATCCTCCTGAACAGTCTTATTGCACCAATGTATTGCTTTTGAAAATTTGTGACTTAATTTTTTTATTTTATTACAGGTACGAATAAAGCCCCGTCAATTTATGCGGCACTTTACACATATACAGTGAAGGAAATAAGTATTTGATCCCCTGCTGATTTTGAATGTTTGCCCACTCACAAAGAAATTATCAGTCTAAAAATCGAATGGAAGGTGTATTGTAACACTGAGACAGAATAGCAACAAAAAAATCTAAAGAAATGCATGTCTAACAAATTATGCACCGATTTGCATGTTCATGAGGAAAATAAGTATTTGATCCCCTATCACTCAGCAGGATTTCTGGCTACCAGGTGTCTTTCATACAGGTAACAAGCTGAGATTAGAAGCAGTCTCTTAAAGGGAGTGCTGCTAATCTCATTTTGTTACCTGTATAAAAGACACCTGTCCACAGGAGCAATCAATCAGATTCCAAACTCTCCACCATGGCAAAGACCAAAGAGCTGTCCAAGGATGTCAGGGACAAGATTGTAGACCTACACAAGGCTGGACTGAGCTACAAATCTAATCGCTAAGCAGCTTGGCGAGAAGGTGACAACAGTTGGTGCAATAATTTGCAAATGGAAGAAACACAAAACAATTCTGAGTCTCCCTAGGTCTGGTGAACCATGCACGATCTCACGATCTCTTGTGGAGTTTCAATGATCATGAGAACATTGAGGAATCATCCCAGAACTACACGTGAAGACCTTGTCAATGATCTCCAGGCAGCTGGGACCACAGTCACCAAGTAAACCATTGGTAACACACTATGCCAACAAGGATTGAAATCCTGCAGTGCCCGGAAGGTCCCTCTGCTCAAGAAAGCACATGTCCAGGCCCGTCTGAAGTTTGCCACTGAACATCTGAATGATGCAGAGGAGGACTGGTTGAAAGTGTTGTGGTCAGATGAGACCAGAATTTAGCTCTTTCGCATCAACTCAACTTGCCATGTTTGGAGGAGGAGGAATACTGCCTATGACCCCAAGAACACTATCCCAACTGTCAAACATGGTGGTGGAAACATTCTGCTTTGGGGGTGTTTTTCTGCTAAGGGGACAGGACTACTGCACCACATCAAAGGGACGATGAATGGGACAATGTAATGTCAAATCTTGGGTGAGAACCTTCTTCCCTCAGCCAGGACATTGAAAATGGGTTGTGGATGGGTGTTCCAGCATGACAATAACGCAAAACACACGGCCAAGGTAACAAAGGAGTGGCTCAAGAAGAAGCACATTAAGGTCCTGGAGTGGCCTGGCCAGTCTCCAGACCTTAATCCGATTGTAAATCTGTGGAGGGAGATGAAAGTTCGAGTTGCCAAACGTCAGCCACCAAATCTTAATGACTTGGAGAGGATCTGCCAAGAGGAGTGGGCCAAAATCCCTCCTGAGATGTGGGCAAACCTGGTGGCCAGCTACAGGAAACGTCTGATCTCTGTGATTGCCAACAAGGGATTTGCCACCAAGTACTAAGTCATGTTTTGTGAAGGGGATCAAATACTTCTTTCCCTCAGAAACATGCAAATCAGTGCATAATGTGTTAGACATGCATTTCTTTTGAATTTTTAGTTGCTATTCTGTCTCTCAGTGTTACAATACATCTACCATTTAATTTTTAAACTGATAATTTCTTTGTGAGTGGGCAAACATTCAAAATCAGCAGGGGATCAAATACTTATTTCTTTCACTGTATATTGTACATTCACATCGGCCCCTGCTCTCAAGAACCTTACAATCTATGGTCCCCTCACATTCATACATCCTAAGACCAGTTTAGACAGGGACCAATTAACCTACCAGCACATCTTTGGAGTGTGGAAGGAAACCCACACAGGCATAGGGAGAACATGCAAACTCTTGTCATGGTTGCGATCTGAACTGGTGACCCCAGTGCTGCAAGGCAGACGTGCTAACCACTTAGCCACTGTGCTGCCCAAAAATGAAATCTGAAGACATGGCTGCCAGAAAAATAAGTATATAACATCTTATTTTATGGACAGGAGTTTTTTCTTATTAGTGACTCTGCAGTGACGTAGAAAAGGAGATGGAGGCACATACTGCAAAATAACTCCTCAATGACAATTAGAAAATCTACTTAAGGCCAGGTGCACATATGTGCGGCTGTGCGTGCCACGATTTGCAGAGGAACAAGAGACCATTCATTTGAATAAATTCCCATGCCCTGGGACACACAGGGAAGAAGTCCTTGCACTTCTTCGGAAATCGCAGCCCGCTCGGGAACTGAGGTTCCCAGTATGGTTGCGATTTCCAGTGCGGGCAGCGCACCATTTAGAATTAATGGCACCCACCCGCGGGTCCCGCATTCTTCTGTGTGGGTGGAGCAGCTGCAGGTATTTGTGCGGATCCTGCAGCGGCACCACCCGCACAGATGTGAACCAAGCCTAAATGTGCACAGTGTTCTTAATGAGCAAAACACTGACAATGATAACATTAAATTGCATGTAATGTCACTGTATTTACAAGATATAATAGCTCACCTGTTTTGTACACACTGTTGATTTCATGTACCTGCTTGTTTGTTCGAGATGCAAGAATTTCAATTAGACATTCCTCGTCTGTACCAGCACCCTGGTGGGAAAAAAAATGAGTGACCAATCCTACGTACTTAACTCCTATTATATTCACAGGACAGGAATTGCCACTTACTTTTATTGCTTCATAAAGCTCATATGCATCATATAGAGATGGTGCTTTCATCATAGCCAGGATTGTCTTTTCAAAGTTTCCAGAGAGCTCAGATTTCAAATCCTTTATCAAATCCTATCAACAGAGATTTATGGAAATGATCCAGTTTAGAGAAAAGGTAAAAAACCTCTAGAAACTATGAAATTATGTAGTTACTTTTCCTCCTCACAAATAAATTTAGACTTCTCACACATCAAGCAAATATTGCTCCACTGAGCGACGACCCCCTTGCTAACAAACCGTTACAGCAAACCCTTATTTTGACCAGTAAGCTGCAGCATGGGACTTTCATTTCAATGGTATCAAACGACATTTTTGTGTGTCCCGAACTAAGTAAGACCTGACACTTGTTAGAAACATTGCTGTATATTTGCAAATATTCTGTCCCCCCCCCCCCCCCCCCCACCCCAAAAAAAAAAAAAAAAAAAAAAAAAACTATGGGACTGTGAGGCAGTACTGAACAAAGAGCCAAGTGTAATTGAATATAAAAAGTTAAAAGTTTATTTAGCCAAAACGCTTAAAAGAATAACATATATGTTGACAACAATAGTTACAGAAGATATCAGTCAGGCATGCGACACGTTTCGAGATACCAATTTGTCTCTCGAAATGCGTTGAATGCCTGTTACCGTCTGTAACTATTGTTATAGACATTTGGATAGCTTGCAGTTTTATAAAACACAGTAACTGGAATATACAATAGATGCGCAGAGTCAAGACGAATTCCAGAATTACCTTTCCATAGGCAGTTTTGAAGGACAAGCTGATCTGCTGCCTCTGTTTATTTGACCGGCTTCCCAGGCATTCAATGATGGCCTTCTCATCAGTTCCTAACATGCCAAAGTTTTGATTAGACATCAGTTAATGCAAAATGTTAAAAACACTCAGTTTGTACTATACAGTGCTCAGCATAAATGAGTACACCCCATCAGAAAACATTTATTTCCTTACAGAATCAACATTTTCTATGGGACACTATACTACAAAATATTCCTATAAATGCAGGCCATTGATTGCAAACAAGATTTGTAAATTTGCACACACAAAAAAGTATTTTTCCTAAAAAATGTATTCAAGACCATGTTGCAAAAATGAATACACCCCAATGAAAGTATTAGGAGCAAAGCTAAATTTGAGATGACAAAATCCTAATTATCAAGTGTTCAACTACAGGTGAGTCCAATTATTCATTAAACAGGTGTTTCTTTATATTAGAACTGAGCAGTGCAGTTATCTCAAAGTGCTTTTATTTTTGCTACTGGGTATCTGCTTTGACATGGATTATTGATCAAGAACAAATGGATTTTCAGTTACTCGTGGATATATCAATAGGTGGAAAAACCCTCAGCTGGCATTTCTTGTGGACTACAGCAATGTAACTCCTCTCTGCACCATCTGTTAATGTGAAGGTTTTACTTGGTCACTGTGCGGTCTCCCATTTATATGATCTAGAATGCTACAGGAGAAAACCAACTCCTCGTCCTGTCATCATAATACTAACAACTTTACAGTGAGGAGAACTTGACACTGGACTTTGAGTTTATCTCGGGATAATTCAACCAAAAACTAATGAAAGATGTAGCAGAGATAAGGTAAAAGAAAATTGAACAATCTAGAAACATATGATGCATGAACTTGAACATCTTACCAAATCCTTTCATGGCCTTTCTGAGCACCTCTGCATCTCTGAGAGCATCAAAGTTTGATGCATCGGTAATGGTACCCGTTCCAGCCTAACAAGAACCAAAATATTATCAGGTCATTGCTTTACCTAGCAGCGTGCTACAGTAGAAAAGCAATTTATTGACTGCCTATCTATACACATAGGAAACCAGGTAATAGAAAGTGCATCCAATCTTTAAAATAGTTCATATACAGAAGAAATATTCTACAAATTCCAAATCACCAATGAAGAAACGTGCCCTTTGATCACCAGAAATTAGCAGAATTTCTCAGGCAGACATCAATAAAAAGGCATTTTCTGGTAGAAAGGGTAGAAGAAAGAGTTATAGCCTTTTCTAATTGTGTCCTTTCTTGGAAGATTAATATTAGTTCCTGTGTGATCACAGAGGCATGAAGTGAGGAGAAACCTCTGTGATAGGGACACAGACAATAAATGCCTGACAAGAGTTTCAAGCCTAAACTGAAAAAGAATACAGTCTGTCTCCACATTAAATAAAAAAATAAAAAATCTAGAACTATAAAGTATACTGCTCTTAATATTTTGACTAATTTACTGAATATCTGTATGAATACTACTTAATATTTTAGAGGCAGAAATTAGAGAAGACCAGCGGATTTAAGTCTGATTGTTTTTAGTTTTTTTAAAGCAAAAATCCACTTTTGTTGCAAAGTGATATGGCATAAAATAATTCATTTTTCAAGCTGCTTGATTATTTTTTCTTCCGTGCAATTATTGCAACAACACTTTGCTTACAGCAGGATGGATTTGACTTAAATTAGAGAGTATACTGGCGCAGGAGAGGTGGGTATGAATATTACTGTCCCCTGTGTAATTGGGGAAAAAAGGTACAACTGTGAGGATAGTTAAAAATCTCCATTAAAGGGTTAAAAATGCTGGCGCATATAGCAATGAGCTGGTGCTGGAGAGATGGATTTAACATAGTACAGTCACATAAGAAGTTGGGGGGGTGGGGGAGAAAGGTTATACAGCTGTAAGGTATGGCACAGTCGTGAGGAACTGACATCATTTCCGCCCAGCGGCCATCTTGCATTCCAGGCTGACTCTACCCACGAGACACAGCCCATGCAGGCTGGAGGGTGCATACGTGACTAGGAGATCCGGCTCTCACAAATACCGTGGCCCCCTGGATACTCACCCGCCTCCTCTATTCTTTCTCTGGGATCGGTGCTAGAGACCTGGCCATCACCACAGCTGTGGCACCTGGAACCCACCCATTTCCTCCACTCTGCCTCTGGTACTACGTCCAGATGACGTCCCCATTATATTGATGCCTGAATACCACTTACTTCCTGTGAGTTACTCTATATTGTGTGCAATAAATGATAATCTTATACTGCACTTAGTCTGGCGCTCCTCTCTCTCCTCTTGTCTTGGATTTGATTTAAATCAAGTTGATTTAAAACACTAGTGAAAAGGCTCAATTTAAATCACAATTTTTAAAGAGCAACTGTCATCTCTGTCCCACAGCGGCTCCTCCTCTGACCCGCTGTTGACTCACCGACAGTCCCATTCACTTTATTGGGACGGCTGGTGATGCGGCAGTGACACAACAAGGTGAAGGACGTGGTGGCAGCAGGTGAATGGATGCCCGCTAACAGGCGCTGCCATGGTGGATGTAAAATGACAGGTGCTCTTTAAATGTAAGGAATCAAACTCATTCTTGCTGGTAGTTAGAATCTTTAATATTTGCAAACCACATGAAGGTTTGCTTCTTAGAATAATAGGCTGTCAGGTTAGTAAAACAGCGATATCAGAACCGATTTTAGGTTAAATCACACATATCTGGAGAACTACTTAAATTCTTTTATTTCATGTTTTTTCTCATGGTTACTGTGAAATTGTGTGAATGCATCAATGCAGTGCATGTGATCTCAGCTTGCAGAGCTTGAATTCATTGAATGAGTTTACCAAAATGTAAATATTGCAGAATATACAGCCTCATGCTACATAACTAAGCTCCATTTCATGCTGAATAAATTAAAATTATTAATATATCTTAAATAGAAAACTATCTTTAGCAGTTTATTAAAATACATTTGATAAAAATTAAAAAAAAATTGATTTTAATAAAAAAAAAAACTGATTTTTTTTTTTAATTTAAAATCATTTTTATCCACCCTGGTTTACAGACAGACTTTCCAAGAACTCACACAACCCCTTGGGCATGTCATTGGCTTACTGTTTGTCCCTGAAATCTATGCCAAAGATTAAATAAAACGACAAACATCTTCTGGAATAAGTTTACGTTTTGGTACAATATTTTCTAACAGATCCACACAAATTAAACCATGCCAGGGTTGTAGCATTCCTTATAATAAAACACATAGACTGAAGAGGTAAGCACAGGAAGAACACTGGCACACCAATCTAAATAAAAACCAGCTACTGAACTGGATAAACGTTTGGTAAAAATCTAGGGATGCTCTGAAATTTCTGCCACCGAAACATATCGGCTGAATATAGCCCTATCAGCATTTGGTTGATAAGAAAAAATTACCGATACAGGGGACTGTGTGTACTGCAGATGTGAGGGGAGGGTGGATAAAGGCAGGAGAGGAGGAGCAGTGTATACAGTGATTGGCTGCCTATATGTCAGTGCCGCTTTTTAAATGTAATTATTGATTTTTTTTTCCTTCACTATTGCTCAGAGAAGGAGCTTTCATTCTTGGAGGGCTAAAGGAAACAAAGGGGCAAGGTCACTGTGACCCCGCCCCTTTGTTTCCTTTAGCCCTCCAAGAATGACAGCTCCTTCTCTGAGCGATAGTGAAGAAAAAAAAGCCGGCAATTGCATTTAAAAACAATGCCATTTTTAAAATGTAATCTCCTTTATTATAGCTCAAAGAAGGAGCCATCATGTTCAGAGGGCTAAAGGAAACAAAGGGACAGTGACATTACCCAGTGACCCGCCCCTTTGTTTCCTTTAGCTTTGGGGAGAGTAACAGCTCATTCTCTAAGCTATAGTGAGGAAAAAAAATCCGGTAATTACATTTTAAAACACGGCACTGACATATAGTGACAGCCAGTGAGGGAGCTTCTCTATATACACTGCTCCCTCACTGTATACACTGCTCCTCTCCTGCCCCATCCTTCCACACACTGCCCCCCCCCCCCTCCCCCCTACAAAGAGGACCTGTCACTTCTATGCTATTACATAGGGGAATGTTGGTATGTGATAGCAATAATGTCATAAGTTAAAAAAATAAATAAAAATATACATTAAAAGTAGAAAAAAAAAATTGAGCCTCCCCATATATGCAGACATTTCAGTTTCGGTTCAGTTTTTGGCCACGTGCTTTCTGAATTTTTGGTATCGATTTTAGCACCAGAATTTTCATTTCGGTGCACCACTAGTAAAATCTTTGCAATATATATAATATAGTTGACCTGGAGGGGATTTTATTTAATCAAAACTAGAATTTCACTTTTTTTAATAAAAAATGTGAACAAAAAAAAAGGCTTTTGTCTTTTAAACAAACTGGCAGATGCATCTGCACTGCATTAAAGTGGTTCTAAAGCCTTAATGTTTTTTTATACCAATGTATTCCATGCATTAAGGTAAAAAGCCTTTTGTTGCAGCATCCCCCTTATACCCAACTGAGCCTGATCTCCATCCAGTGATGTGCATGAAAGCTGCAGCGATCCCGCATGTGTGCCACCACAGGAAGCGACTTCCTATGGTGGCACACAGAGAAGAGGAGGAGCTGAGAGTGCCAGCATGGGACCCCAGAAGAGGAAGATCTGGGTTGCCCTGTGCAAAACCATTGCACGGAGCAGGTAAGTATAAACTGTTTGCTATTTTGATTAAAAAAAATATTAAGCTCTAATATCCCTTTAAGTGATAGTATGTTGATGGCACTTACAATATATTGGCTGCTGCTGACAACAAAATAAAAACATACATACCTTAAGTGGGGGAATAGAAGGTGTCACTGATGGCGGAGATGGGTATTGAGGAATGGAGGGATTAGCTGCTGGAGCCTGTGGATAACTTGGAGTTGGTTGCTGACCAGGGTACGTTGCAGGTTGCTGACCAGGGTACGTTGCAGTTGCTGACCAGGGTACGTTGCAGGTGGCTGACCAGGGTACGTTGCAGGTGGCTGACCTGGGGCTGGTGATGGCTGCCCTGGGTATCCTGTATCAAATCCAGCCATCCCAGGCTGTGGTGCACCCCCTGGAGCAGGATACATGCCAAATCCTGGTGCCTGAGGCTGCTGAGGTGCCCCATATCCGCCACCAGGTGCAGAGGGATAGCCACCAGGTGCAGAGGGATAGCCGCCGCCAGGTGCAGAGGGATAGCCGCCAGGTGCAGGGTTATAGCCGCCGCCAGGTGCAGGGTTATAGCCGCCGCCAGGTGCAGGGGGTATCCTGCTTGTGGTGGGTTCATGCCTCCAAACCCAGCTGGTGGATAGCCAGATCCTGCCTATAAAAAAAAAAAAAATCAATTCACTGTTCGTAAATAAAGTGGTATTAAACCCAAAACCAAAAATGTATTATATTGCAGCTTACCAATCATTAGATGTGATGGCTGCATTAGTTTTCCTTCCCCCCCCCCCCCCCCCTTTTTTTCACCTGGTGATCTGGCCAGTAACACACCTCCTGTATTAGAGTGCCTGTACTCTGGGTGAAAGAGCACAGGGGGTACCTTTGGATTTTTAGTTTGAGTGGAGGGAAACGTTAAATGGACTATCAAATTTAAATATACAGTGCCTTGAAAAAGTATTCATACCCCTTGAAATTTTCCACATGTTGTCATGTTAAAGCCAAAAATGTAAATGTATTTTATTGGGATTGGATATGATAGACCAACACAAAGTGGCAATAATTGTGAAGTGGAAGGAAAATGATAAATGGTTTTCAACATTTTTGACAAATTAATATTTTAAAAGTGTGATATGCATTTGTATTCAGCCCCCGAAGTCAATACTTTGTAGAACCACCTTTCGCTGCAATTACAGCTGCAAGTCTTTTTGGATATATCTCTACCAGCTTTGCACACCCAGAGAGTGATATTTTTGCCCATTCTTCTTTGCAACATAGCTCAAGGTCTGTCAGATTGGATGGAGAGCGTCTGTGAACAGCAATTTTCAAGTTTTGCCACAGATTCTCAGTTGGATTCAGGTCTGGACTTTGACTGGGCCATTCTAACACACGAATATGCTTTGATCTAAACCAGGGGTCTCCAAACTTTCTAAACAAGGGGCCAGTTCACTGTCCTTCAGACTTTAGTAGGGCTGGACTGTGACCAGCAGGAGAAGAACATGGTATTACGGGGGGAATAGATTCCCATTATTGGTATTAGTGGGAGGAATAGTGCCCCATCATTGGTGTCAGTAGGAGGAATAGTACCCCATCATTGGTGTCAGTGGGAGGAATAGGGCCCCATTGCCAATGTCAGTGGCAGGAACTATGCCACACTGTTGCTGACAGTGGGGGGGGGGGGGGGATAAGAGCCCAAGGGCCAGATAAACGCAGGTAAAGGGCCGCATTGGGCCCCAGGGCTGCAGTTTGGAGACCATTGATCTAAACCATTTTATTATAGCTCTGGCTGTATGTTTAGGGTGGTTGTCCTGCTGGAAGGTGAACCTGCATCCCAATCTCAAGTCTTTTCAAGGTGGGAATGGTGTGTTCAGGATGATGTGCAGTGTTAGTTTTCCACCACACAGTGTGTTGCTTTTAGGCCAAAAAGTAAAATTTTGCTCTCATTTGACCAGAGCACCTTCTTCCACATGTTTGCTGTGTCCCCCACATGGCTTCTCGCAAACTACAAAAAGGGACTTCTTATGGCTTTCTTTCAACAATGACTTTCTTCTTGCCACTCTTCCATAAAGGCCAGATTTGTGGAGTAAACGACCAATAGTTGTCCTGTGGACAGATTCTCCCACCTGAGTGGTGGATCTCTGCAGCTTCTCCAGAGTTACCATGGGCCTCTTGGCTGCTTCTCTGATTAATGCTCTCCTTACCCAGCCTGTCAGTTTAGGTGGATAGCCATGTCTTGGTAGGTCTGCAGTTGTGCCATACTCTCCATTTTTGGATGATGGCATAAACAGTTCTCCATGAGATGTTCAAAGCTTGGGATATTTTTTTTTTATAACCTAACCCTGCTTTAAACTTATCTACAACTTTATCCCTTACCTGTCTGGTGTGTTCCTTGGCCTTCGTGATGCTGTTTTGTTCACTAATGTTCTCTAACAAACCTCTGAGAGCGTCACAAAACAGCTGTATTTATACTGAGATTAAATTACACACAGGTGGACTCTGTATACGAATTAGGTGACTTCTGAAGGCAATTGGCTCCACTAGATTTTAGTTAGGGGTATCAGAGTAAAGGGGGCTGAATACAAATGCACCCCACACTTTTCAGATATTTATTTGTAAAAAATTTTGAAAACCATTTATCATTTTCCTTCCACTTCAGAATTATGTGTCACTTTGTGTTGATCTATCACATAAAATCCCAATAAAATACATTTACGTTATTTTGGTTGTAACATGACAAAATGTGCAAAAATTCAAGGGGTATGAATACTTTTTCAAGGCACTGTACTAACAAATTGAAGCCAAACTCCAGCTCACACTGGTGTTACACAAGCAGTTACAGCAACAGTTTTTCTTCTTTTGAGATGGTTTTACATGAATATATAAAAGCTGATCATTGTAAGCACCTCTGTCAGCAGTAAATGGTTTGTTTCAACATTCTTAACTGATAAACTGACAGGACAACTTGTTCTGTTGAAAAACAACAGACCTACTGGCCAGATCCTCAGGTGAAAAACAAAAGAAAGCCTAAAAAAGTAAACTCATGCAGCCATCACATGGCAACACTAATGCTTATTTGTTCATATAGTTCAAATAGATTTCATAAATATTTAAAACACCTCAGTTAGCCAAACTGAAAGCAAGCAATATTTGTGTTTAGTTCATCAGTCAAAAGCCTATAGAGTAAAACTATGATGTATTTGTGATACGTGAGCCATAGAGCATCTTGTGATTCCTCCCTGCAGTCTTTCTTCATCCTATCTACAGCTGGATATATCCACATACAGAAGCGGAGAGCAGATGACCACACAGAAAATCGCACACACCAACACTCCCATTTGTAAGAAGTTCCTATACTCTATCTTGTTATTGACCACATTGCTCACAAGTGATTTATGGCAATGACAACCTTGGCGATCAGGGGACTAAATTTATAAGCCAAGAGTCTGGAATGTATGAAGGCTAAAGTTTGGCAATTTTCAGACAAATACACATACACAGTTTTGGACAACTTTCCTCCAAACCAGACATGCAGTGATTTTATTTTAACAGCATGATGATCTATGAAATAAGAAAAGTTGTATATTCTTTTACAGATCTCCATGACTATGCAAGCTTTTATGTGAAGAGATGGAAATGACACTTAGCTCCATAACAACATTGAAGGAAAATCAAATACAATACACACATGGCCTGGAGAAGAGCATCCAGTTCTAGCATTACTTCCAGCAGTCCTCTGCCTGCTTTGAAACTTTCCTAAAAAGAGGGACCACTTTGTTGCTTGCTTGCAATAGATCTACTGTATTTATTTTTTCAAAGAAAATGTTTATTGAATGCACATTTGGATGCTATCACACAAAAACGTGACACAGCATACCAAGTGGTGTTATCAGAAATAACAATATGGGGGAAGTAGGTAGAAATAAGGTACAGTGCCAATAGCTTTGGGATATAAATACAGCTTCCTTCTGACATCTGTTGGAGAGGATTCTGAGGTCATTCAGCATTCATCGCAGGTATACTGGATCTGCAGTTGACCTCCATTTGTATTCCCATAGACCTGTATGGAGAGAGAAGCAGCTCTGACACAAACAAAGGCCTGCTGACACTTGCTTTAAAGTAGATTATATATATAAATTTTTTTTTTTTCCATTTTGGATAGAGTAAGGGAGGGTTATAACCCCTGTAAGACTCATTTCTGCCATCTTTGTCCCATTGGTGAGATTTCCCTTTACTTCTTGTCCCATAGCCAAAACAGGAAGTGAAAGAAAATCCCTGCATATTAAGGGAATCTCTTGGGGGACCAGATCCAGTGTCCCCATTGGAAGATTTCCCCCCTATTACTTTTCTGGGGACAACCTAAAATGTGGGATTTTCTTTTACTTTCACTTTGAATGAGACTATCAAACAGGAAGAATAGAGAGGGTGAATCTCCCTAACGGGGACACAGCAATAAAAACTGATAGGTGTTCTAATCCATTCCCCTCTACCCAAAACTAAAAAAAAGTTTTGACTTTAGTTATACTTTAACCACCTTCCGCCCACCATATAAGGAAATGACATACGGGCGTTGGTTCTCTCATTCTGGGAGGTTGTCATATTATTATTATACAGGATTTATATAGCGCCAACAGTTTGCTCAGCACTTTGCAATATAACAGGAGACAATACAGCAACAATACAGTTCAATACAAGAGGGATAGGAGGGCCCTGCTCCTTGGAGCTTACAATCTAGGAGATATGACGTCTTCCCACTCTAACCGCACATGCGTAGCCCCGGGGCATGCTTATCGCTGGTGAACTGCGTCCCTTGGACACAGCTCATCATCGATCAAGGTAAAGAGCATTTGCTGCATCTCTTTACCATGCGACAGGCTGTATGCAATCACAGCCTGTCACAAATGTAAACACAGAGCGGTAACTCACTGTTACCAGCTTCCTCTCCTCGCACACAGATCTTGTGTGAGGAGAGGAATCTTCTAACAGTGAGTTACAGTTCTTAACAGTGCACACAGATCACAGCCCCTGTCACAGTGCCCATCAGTGCACCTGTCGCCTATCAGCAGTGTACCCGTCACCCATCAGTGCCAATCAGCAGTGCACCTGTCGCCTATTGTCCATCAATGCCACCATCAGCAGAGTACCGTCACACAGCCACCATAACTAGGGTAAATAGGGAAAAAAACGAGCGCTGGATCTGACAGATTCAAGCCGCTAGCATAAAGGTAAACCTCGTATACCCTCTTCATAGACAATAAAATACAACAAAAAATGCAGCGCTTGAGTGTATAATAGGGGAATTAACATATGTACCATAACTAGGGTACCTGTCCCAGTGCCAGAAGAGCCATCCATGTAAAAAAAAAAAAAAATTTACACTAGTAAGGAGGCGATCAAAATTCTAAGTATGACAGCAGCGGGGAGCTCTCACTGTCCGATTCGGATTCAGTGTATGAACCCATTGAAAGCGGTGGATCAGCGACTGAATCAGAGGAGGAAAGGGTCCCTCCTGAAAGGATACAGCATTCTGAAAACCAGGCAGACACTAGCAGCGACATATACCCCAATTGTCAATCTGCAAACGCCAATGGCACTAGACCCATAGAATAAAGACCCAGTACCAGCACTGAAATATTCCATCAACCCCCAAGAATCAGGGCCCAAACATACCTCCCAGATGCTCTTGCCAGCCCATTATGGCTGACCTCCAACTCTGGATCAGAAAGCATTCCTCCTTTCACCACACAACCAGGTGTGCAGGCCAACACTAAGAATTTTTCAGAAATTGATTTTTTTTTTTTTTTTTGCCTGACACTTTACTTCAGTTTATTGTGGACCAGAAAAAAACCTTTATGCCACACAATTCATTACCAGTTCATCCTATGCCCATCCATTTGAATGGAGACCTCTTATTGGAGGAATTTAAGTTATTTTTGGGCCTCACCCTTAACATGGGCTTACAAAAAGAAAAAAAAAAAAAAAAAAAAAAAAGAAAAAAGAAAAAAAAATGGACATGCATACTGGTCCACATACCTAATCCACCACATGCCAATTTATTCTGCTGTAATAAGCAAATAACAATAAATCTTGTGTGCTTCTATGAGTCAAAAAGAAGACTTGCTCCTAATGAGCGTGAAGAAATAATACTGACATAAACTGAACTGTAGCAGCTATTGCACATAACCCCTATCTCGTAAATGTGAACACAATCATATAGTAAAAAACAGTGCAGCCTTACAATTCATAAAACCAGAATACAAAAGTGTACGGGAAAAATATTATGCATAAAAAAATTACAGTATATAGAAATTAAAATAGTCCAAAAACATGTCTTCTTTATGGTGTGCCCCTCCTTCTGTGATCACCAAGTGCTTAAAACACAATAGTGCATAATTCCACCACCAGATGTCTGCTCAGCTCCAGCAGTGTGACCTGACATAATAATATGTTTGGTCTAACCGCACTTTTGGTCCCACAATGGACACTGAAGATCAACTTGATGGATTTCAGCTGTTATTACCGCATTCAGAGTACACATCTCACCACCATTTTACCTTATAAACAAAAAGCTTGACCTGGACCCATGTCCTCCTCATACCACAGGTAATCTTGTTTACATTGTTTTCTATACAGTGTTTATTGATTTTTGTGTTACACATGTTACAATGTTGGGCACAATCTGTAAAGGCATCGAAAAGGTCTTACACATGTGGTATCCCCATAATCAGGAGGAGCAGCAGAATGTATTTTGAGGTGTAATTCTTGGTATGTCCATGCTGTTTTTTAGAAATATCTTATAAATGGACGACTTTGTGTTAAAAAAATAAATGTTAATATTTTTTCCACATTTTACGAAAACTTGTGAAAAAATTAAATGTTCCAAAGACTCATTATGCCTCTTAGAAAATACATTGTGGTGTTTTTTTTTCAAAATGGGGCCATTTTGTGGGTGTTTCCACTTTCCTGTTGCTCCAGGGGCTTCAAAAACGTGATAGGTTGAAATTAAATGTATTATTTTTTGCCCCTAGAATGTCTAAAGGTGCTACTTGGATGTTAGGCCTCTCTATGTGGCCAAGCTGTGGAAAAGTCTTACACAATGGTATCACCATAATTAGGAGAGGAAGCAGAATGTATTTTGGGGTGTAATTTTTGGTATGTACATGCTATGTGAGAGAAATATCTTATAAATGGACAACTTTGGGAGTGTTTGCTTTCCAAAATGGGCTCATTTTGTGGACGTTTCCACTGTCCTGGTTCTCCAGGGCCTTCAAAAACATGGTAGGTTGTCAAGATATTAGATGTGTAATTTTTGCCCCTAGAAGGCCTAAGGATGCTACTTGGATGTTGGGGCACTCTATGTGGCCAAGCTGTGGAAAAGGCTCATACATGTGGTATCCCCATACTCAGGAGAGAACAGAATGTATTTTGTGGTTTAAATTTTTGGTATGCATGTGCTATGTGTTGGAAATATCTTATAAACGGACAACATTGTGTAAAAAAAAAAAAAATAAGTTTTCATTTTCTTTCCACATTTTCCAACTTGTGGGGAAAAAAAAAATGACATGTTCAAGAGACTCATTATGCCTCACAGAATATAGGTTGGGGTGTTTGCTTCTCAAAATGGGATCATTTTGTGGGTAATTCCATTATTCTGGTGCTCCAGGGCCTTCAAAAGTGAAATAGGTAGTCAGGAAATTACATGTGTAATTTATACCCTTAAGTCACCTGACTGTGCTCCTGGTCTCACACATGTGGTATCCCCAAACTCAGGAGGAGTATCAGAATGTGTTTTTGGGGTGTAGTTGCAAGTATGCATATACCATGTGGGAGAAAAAAAACCTTTTAATATGACAATTTTGTGAAACAAAAAAATTAAATCTTCTTTTTCAATAGAATTGTGGTAAAAAAAATACAACTTCAAAAAACTCACTATGCCTCTTACTAAATACCTTGGACTGTCTACTTTCTAAAAAAGGGGTCGTTTGGGGTGTATTTGTACTTTCCTGGCTTGTTAGTGTCTCAAGAAATTAGAGAGGACATCGGTACATCAAGTGTGCTCAATTTTCAATGATTGATGCCATAGCTTGTAGATTAATGCAGGTCATAGACGGGGAGAAAAAAAACGGCCGATTTTTCTTTTAAAAAACAAAAAATCGGTTGTTCAAGCGGCCGACGTTACCACCAATGGTTAAAAAAAAAAAAAAAAAAAATAATCATCGGACGATTTTCATCCCGTCTACAGCCGGCAAAAGGTGTCCCTGCAGAGAGCTCTGCTATTTCTTTGACAGTTCTTTGACAGTTCCTTGACATTTACAGAGGTTGCAACAATGTATCTATTTGTATCCATTTAGGATACAGATGTTTTTATTCGGAAACATAGATACAATGTTGCAACCGCTGTAAATGTCAAGGAACTGTCAGAGAACTGTCAAAGAAATAGCGGAGCTCTCTGCAGGGACACTTTTTGCTGGACTGGAATTCCTCTTATTTTTCATCCTTCTTCTCCTTCTTCATCATCATCCTCTTCATCCTCATCATCATCATCCTCTTTCTTCTTCATCATCCTCTTTCTTCTTCATCATCATCTTCATCATCCTCTTTCTTCTTCATCATCATCATCATCATCCTCTTTCTTCTTCATCATCATCATCATCCTCTTTCTTCTTCATCATCATCATCCTCTTTCTTCTTCATCCTCCTTTCTTCTTCATCATCTTCTTCTTCATCATCTTCTTCTTCATCATCTTCTTCTTCATCATCATCCTCTTCATCATCATCATCCTCTTCATCATCATCTTCTTCATCATCATCCTCTTCTTCTTCTACTTCTTCATCATCATCCTCTTCTACTTCTTCATCATCATCCTCTTCTACTTCTTCATCATCATCCTCTTCTACTTCTTCATCATCATCCTCTTCTTCTTCTACTTCATCATCATCCTCTTCTTCTTCTACTTCATCATCATCCTCTTCTTCCTCTTCTTTTTGTCTTCCTCTTGCAGGTCACTGCTCATGCGCAGATTTTTTATCGGTAAAAAATCGGCCGATTTGCCCATTATTGCCGCGAAAATCGGCCAATCGGCAAAATCGGCCGATTTTTTCCAACTTTACCGATAAAAAAAAACGGCCAAAATACCGAAAAAACGGCCGAACAAATAGCCCACTAACGATCCGAAAATCGGCCGATTTTATTTTCGGCCGAAAAATCGGCCGATTTTCGACCCATCTATGGCCTGCATAACTTTCACACAGACCAAACAGTATAGACAGATTTAAGTTATTTATCCAAAGAAATGTAGCAGTATAAAGTTTGTCCAACATTTATGAAGAAAACTTATTTGCAAAATTTTACAATAGAAAAAAAAAAAAAAATTTTTGTCAAATTGTTTGGTCTTTTTTTCATTTCTAGCACAAAAAAACAAATCCAGTGCGGATTAAATATCACCATCTGTGTGAAAAAAAAAAGACAAAAATATCATATGGGTACAGCGTTGCATGACTGAGTAATTGCCAAAGTATGACAGTGCTGAAAGCTGAAAATTGGTCTGGGCAGGAAGGGAGTATACGTGCCCTGTAGGCAAGTGGTTAAAAAACACCATATCACATGAAACCATATATCAGTGTACCATCACTGTTATCTCCTGCATACAGGTGGGACTAGTGTATTTTTGTTGACCTTTCTTTAATATAAAATATAGTTATATATTCTGACATGTATGTGCCACATACACATTAAAGTGAAGGAGCATAAAGCTCCTTTCATTGGAAGGATGATATCCGTTCTGGTAAAAGGTGAGAAACCTAGGTGCAGAACTCACCATGTACTGTTGAGGATTGTACTGCTGAGAGAAGCCTCCAACATCCAGCCCAATGGGAGGAGGGTTACCAGGCACCCCCCAGAGATTGTCTCCTGCAATATGGAAATAAAACACTGGTTAATGCAAACGGCTTCAAATAGAATGGTATGCATATATAAACTGCTATATAAAATGTCCCTATAATTACATTCAAAGCTCCAACAGAACCAACACAGTGTACATACTGATTTCATACCTTCTGACAAATTATTCCTTTAAAAAATGGATGTATCTAGGAGCATACCTACTCTCAGGAACATCCATCAACACACAATCTTAGTCCTTCACCTGATCATGTATGAGGGAAGTTACAGTGGCCTCTTAGAATCTCCCCGAGATGGTGCCCTACAGCTTGGCACCTGAGAGGGTCACGGACCTTTTATATACCATTATTTACATCCTCCTCTGGACTACATGTGGTCATACGTTTAGGATCAGTTTCTGTTGTGATCTTTATGCCTTGGTGTCTAGTGTACGAGGGGGGTTTTGCTACCTTTCCTGCATCCCTCCCTGTATTACACGAACAGTTACACCAGTCTCATTGTATGATTGGTCTGGTGCTCGTTTTATCCTGGTGCTTAATGCTGGTCAATTCTGAGTATAGGAGCTTTTTTGTTATTATGCCTTTGCACTCTTTCCTGCATGGAACATGTTATAGCTTATAAATGAGTGTTACATAGGAGTCATCCATACAATTAGCTTTCTGCTAATGAGTTTTCCCCTGACAGGGATATACCTACTTGGGACCTGTGGAGTGTGGTACGATTTTTTTGTGTTTGTTTTATACTTTTAATTTTGTCTGTAATCACAAGAAGTTTTCGTGCACCATTGATCACCTTCTCCTTTGCTTGAATTAGTTTTCTTGAGTATTCACAAATTCCCTATTCCGATTGAGTCCGCAACTAGTTCTTTTTCTGTAAGCTTCTCATTGGCTCGGTGTCTAGGAACTCCCAGAATACATAGTTTTGTTTGATATATAGATATATATATATATATATATATATATATATATATATATATATATATTTTATTTTTTTTAAGGTACATTGAGGTTTTTTTTGGAAGTTTTGCAGAATCCAAGTACACCACGCCACCCCTCTGTCCAAGGCTCACCTCCACATAAAAAAAAAATCAGATTTGTTTGACAACTTGTTTTTCATGAATCCATGCTGTCTGTTGCTTAAAATATTTTTTTCCAGCAAGAACTCATCTATGTGGTCTTATATTAACCACTCCCTGTCCACCCTATAGTAGAAGTACTGCTACAGGGTGGCACGGGTGCGTAAAATCACATGTATATATACACAAAATTTTGCACTTCCAGGTAGGGGGCGTGCGGGGGGGGGGGGGTGGAGGGGTGATGGAAGAACTGTTTGTAAACAATTCAGTTCTTTCCCGTCAGCTCCTGCACACAGCCAGAAAAAGCAGTGTGCTTACAGTGAAGCACTAACACAGCACACTATGTAAAACAGCACACAGTTAACCCTTTGATCGCCCCACATGTTAACCCCTTCCTGCCCAGTGCCATTAGTACAGTGTCAGTGCTTTTTATTAGCACTTATCACTGTATTGGTGTCACTGGGGATGTCAGTGACACCAAGTCAGGTTCCCCCAGTGTCAGAATGCCTGCTGCAGTCCCGCTATAAGTCGCTGATTGCTGCCATTACTAGTAAAAAATTTTAAAAAATCCCAGAATATATTTTGCCATTTGTAAACGCTATAACTTTCATGTAAACCAATTCACACGTATTGGGATTTTTTTTAGCAAACGCATGTAGCAGAATACATTTTGGCCTACATTTATGATGAAATTTGATTTTTTACAGGACATGTTTAATAGCAAAAACTCAAAAATATTGTTTTTTTTTTTCAAAATTGTCGGTCTATTTTTTTTATAGAGCAAAGTAAAAAAAACGCACAGGCGATCAAATACCCCCAAAAGAAAGCGCTATTTGCGGGGGGAAAAAAAGGAATTTCATTTGAATGCAGCGTTGTATGACTGCGTAACTGTCAGTTAAAGTAACGCAGCGGCGTAACGCAAAAAATGGCCTGTCAGGCAGGAGGGTAAATCCTCTTGAGGGCAAGTGGTTAAACTCTCCAGTATCTTCCCAACTATAGATGTTAAACTAAGAAGTCTATAATTACTTGTAAAGATTCTGATCCCTTTTTAAGTATTGACACCACATTGGCCTTACACCAATCCAGTGCTACTATGCCAGTCATTAAAGAGTCCCTAAAAATTAGAAACAATGGCTTTAAAATGACAGCTAAGTTCTTTAAGGACCCGTGGGTGTATGCCATCCGGTCCAGGTGATTTATTCACCTTTATTCTGTCTAAATATTTTTGGATCAAAACAATTGTGAGCCAATCTGGATCATCTGGAGCTGTGTCAATACCATGCCCATTATGGACAAGAGCTCCCCCTATGCTCCTTTGTATACACAGAACTGAAGAAGGTATTTAATACATTTGCCTTCTTTTTGTTAGCAGTTACCCACTCTGAATTATTTTGTAAAGAGCCTACATGCTCAGATCTTTTACTATTAATATATTTGAAGACTTTTTTGGGGTTTGTCCTGCTATCTTTTGCAATCGGTCGTTCATTTTCAATTTTTGAGGCCTTTATTTCCTTGTTCTATAGCCAAGTGTTAAATGAGGCAATCAGCAACATCATAAAAATGCATTAAAATTGTACAGGCGAGGAAAAAAAAAAAAAAAATTGTACAGTCATAGGAAATGTTAAAGAAGGAAGGCTAATGTACGACAAAGTAGACATTAGGAGGTATGTGCCACTTAATAGTGTGGCACCCCAAAACCAGGAAGTCAAAGCTTCACAGGAAAAATTCTTCAGATCTAACAGATTCCAGCTTTTTCTATTGCCATTAAAGCAGTAATAAGCCCCAAACCAAAAGTAAAGAAAAGAAAAATTGTGTATATATATATATATATATATATATATATATATATATATATATATATATATATATATATATATATATATATATATTCAAAATATTAGCAGTGTCTTGAAAAAAGTGAATAAAGCTCAAAATCCTTCTAATAGCTTGTATTTCCATACACACAAATGCATTGGGAGCACTACATATTCTATTCCAAATCAAAACATGAAGAAAAATATATCAAATTTGTGTTGTTCCTCTAAAAAAAAATTAAGAAAAGTGAATATTAGACTGTTCAAAAAAATAGCAGTGTTTGTATTCTTCTTTACAAACTCAAAAATTCACTATATAAACTGAAAAATGTTTGAAGATTTTGCTTTCCTTTGAATCACTTAATTAATATTTAGTTGTATAAGCATTGTTTCTGAGAACTGCTGTACATCTGTGTTGCATGGAGTCAACCAACTTCTGGCACCTGTGAACAGATATTCCAGCCCAGGATGATTGGACTACATTCCACAGTTCTTCTCTATTTCTTGGTTTTGCCTCAGTATTTGCATTTTGATGTCACCTCACAAGTTTTCTATTGGATTAAGATCCGGGGATTGGGCTGGCCACTCCATAACGTCAGTCTTGTTGGTCTGGAACCAAGATGTTGCACGTTTACTGGTGTGTTTGGGGTCGTTGTCTTGTTGGAACACCCATTTCAAGGGCATTTCCTCTTCAGCATAAGGCAGCATGACCTCTTCAAGTATTCTGATGTATTCAAACTGATCCATGATCCCTGGTATGCGATTAATAGGCCCAACACCGTAGTATGAGAAACATCCCCATATCATGATGCTTGCGCAACCATGCTTCACTGTCTTCACAGTGTACTGTGGCTTGAATTCAGTGTTTGGGGGTCGTCTGACAAACTGTCTCTGGCCACTAGACCCAAAAAGAACAATCTTATTTCATCAGTCCACAAAATGTTGCGCCATTTCTCTTTAGGCCAGTCAATGTGCTCTTTGGCAAATTGTAACCTCTTCAGCACGTCTTTTTTTCAACAGTGGGACTTTGCGGGGGCTTCTTGCAGATAGCTTGGCTTCACATAGGCGTCTTCTAATTGTAACAGTACTTACAGGTAACTTTAGACCTTCTTTGATCTTCCTGGAGCTGATTGTTGGCTGAATCCTTGCCATTTCGGCTATTCTTCTATCCATTCGAATGGTAGTTTTTATGCTTTTTTCCACGTCTTTCAGGTTTTGGTTGCCATTTTAAAGCATTTGCGATCATTTTAGCTGAGCAGCCTATCATTTTCTGCACTTCTTTATATGTTTTCCCCTCTCCAATCAACTTTTTAATCAAGGTACGCTGTTCTTCTGAACAATGTCTGGAACGACCCATTTTCCTCAGAATTGCAGAGAGAAATGCACTGTAACCAGCATGTACAACATTTGCTGCCTTCCTTCCTTAAATAAGGGCAATAATTTCCACCTGTTTTTCAAAGAATGAATGACCTCACTAATAGAACTCCACACTGCTATTATTTTGAACATGCCCCTTTCAATTACACAGAATCAGCAGCATGCATGTCATGACTGTTGGGTCTGTTGGATTTCTATTACTCTACTACACCTGCCAGTAAATTATTTGCCATGTAGAAATATCATTTCTACCAAAAACAGCGATTGATCAGGTTAGTGATGTCTGACTGCTATTATTTTGAACACAACTATATATATATATATATATATATATATATATATATATATATATATATATATATATATATATATATATATATATATATATATATATATATATATATATATCAGCCTACCAATCCTTAATGTGGTGGCTGCATTCTTTTTTTTTTTTTTTTTTTTAGCCTTTTTTTCCCTATGTTTCACCTGGTGATCTGTCCAGTAGCACACCTTCTGTATTACTGCCCCCCCCCCAATCTGGATGAAGGAACACAGAAGCATTGTCAGTGTGGGGGAAGGGGAGTGTTAGATGTACTAGCAGATTTAGATACACTAATAATCAGAAGCCAAACTCTAGCTAACACACACACACACAAGCAGTTACAGCAACGGTATTTGGGGATAAAGATTTCACACGTATATATATATATTATATATATATATATATATATATATATATATATATATATATATATATATATATATATATATATATATAAAAGCTGATCATTGTAAGCACCCCTGTCAGTGGCAAATGGTATGTGTCAAAATTCTGATACATATTCAGGAAAGGTTGTTTTGTTAAAAAAAAAAAAAAAAAACACACACACAACAGACTTACTGGCTGGATCACCAGATAAAAATAAAGGAAAAAAAGCCTAAAAAAGAAACTTTGCAGCCATCACATCTAAGAATAGGTAAACTGTAATATAATAAATGTTTGCTTTGGATTTAATAGCGCTCCAAGCTCCATTCACACTTGTGCGACTTTGGACACAAAGTCACATGACAAGTCACAGCCCATTGTTTTCAATGGCACCCTTAAAAGTGCTTGCGCCCATGAAAACACAAAATAAAACCCTCAAAATTGTCCATAGGAAATGCTTTTAAAGCCTTTACAGGTTATCAGTTTAACTGATAATTATGGTCCTAGAATTACTGCTCTCACTCTGTTTGCAGGGATACCTCACGTGTGGTGCAATGTATGTTGATATACACGTGTTTGCCCTACAATGTACATTTAAAAAAGGGGTGTGTAAGGAGGGCTGAAACAACAAGGGCTTGGTTAGTAGTATCCTTGGCTACAGTAACCAATGAATGACAGCTGGGAACCCACAAGTGACATCATACATGTTGCTTCTGTGTTCATTAGTTGCAGGAAGGCCCAGATAACTTTTATTGGAAAGCCATTTGCCAGCTGTTAAAAATCGATACCAAGCTCACGGCTGCAGGAGCTTCCATGAGCTTGCTTTAACCCCTTGTATACCATACGGTTTAGAAATGTACCTTAGGAGGCAAGGGGTTAAGAATCTATACGATTTAGGAAAAGTGAATCTATGGTCACCATTGCTGCACAATTTATTGGGTACGGTGCAATTAAAGAGATTCTGTCACTTTCATTTCAACAACAATCCTCTTCTAGGATATGTGCATTTGTTGCATATTTTAGGCCTCAATGCCTGAGACTACTGCTGAGTGCCATCATCTTGCATGTGATGTCAGAAGTCCTGGCAGACTCCAAGCTGTCGCTCAAGTGACATTCTATGGTACAGCACAAACAGTAATACAGCCAGCACAGACAGTATATCAATAGTAATATACTCTTCTGAAGCTGTCAAATTTGCAAGTTCAGAGATACATTGTAAGTAAATAAATATTTTCTAGAAAAGAAAAAATGCTGCAAGTAAGCATTTTTACCTGCATTTTTTAAAGTGATGACAGGGACTCTTTAAGCCAGAGTGGTGGGAGAGCCAGGATTTGCCACAACAGTGTTTTCTCAACCTTTTTTTTAGGCAAGGCATCCATTAAAATCTTGAGGCACTCCATTCTAATATGTAAAAAACTATTCTAAAAGTTTAATAATGCAGCAACATTCACACACATAGGAAACCCAACGTTAGAGGGGATTTATTCTTCCGAAGCAAATACACTTTTGCACACTGGTACTGACTAGTATGCCAAGGTTTCTCTTCTCCATCAGTTCTTCTCCATCACTGAGCTGACGTGACCCTAGCACTGATGGAGAGGGGCAGGGGAGGGACAAACTAGGATGCTGTGTAGGCAACCGATCTCCTCCTTATCAACCAATGATGTCACTGGTTGTCAGGATGCTGGTGGCTAAAGGGTCATAAATGGTGCACAAGGAAAACCTGTGGCTTTGTGTAACCAAAAGGCAGGCTTTTTACACCGACTGGCTTGTATACAAGTTTTGGGCAATTCTTAGACATTTTGCCATGGTACCCCTGAAGATACCTCAAGGCACCCTGGTTGAAAGAGGCTGTGCCACAATAAGGCACACTTACCTCTGGGTATGCTCTCCTGCATGCTGAAGTTATATTATCTCAACAAGATGTCGGATCTGTACACTGTACTGCATAAGCCGTAATCAGTGTACAGGTTTACGAAAAAATACTAGGAGACAAGATCAAATGTTTGTTTTAGCTAATGAGACTTATATAAACATTTTAATTTTTTTTAGGTTTACTTCCATTTAAACTTCCCCCAACAATTCAATTCCTCGGCCAGTACTGGTCCTTGCGTTACTATATTAAAAACTCAGCATTTTCTACTAAAAACTGATACATGGAATTTAGATAAACTGTCCGCTACAAAGCAGATTAGCAATGAATTCCTCTAATGGAAAGCCCAACTATGATCGAAACACAATATAAGTAAATACAGCAATACAATTTGAATATGAGGTGCCTCATGCCTTACCTGTAGGGATAGGGGGAAAGCCACCCATTGGGGGATAACCGGGATAACTCATGGCCTTAGAGATGGAGACTCAACACCTGAAGAGAAAACATCAATGTTACATGCAATATTAAATACCTTCAACTGTCATGTGTGTAAGGAGCAGAGTATATTATGCTACATACCTGATATATCAGTTGTGATGTTTGTGACATGGTGTTATAAAAGGCAAACAAACATCGAGTGAAAATTTTAAACCACAAGAGTCAAAGAAACACAAAACTTAAGAGTTAATGCCTGGGATTTTTTGCATGCATTTTTAATGTCTGATTCCCAAAGGTTTTTTTTTTTTTCTTACTAGGTGTTAGGATCACTGCAGATTTCACCTGCTACAAACATTTTAAATAACTTTATCAACCAGCCCAACAGTGCTGCGTATTCTTGTTATACTATATAAAACATTCAAAACTTTGGTGCTCCATATAATGCTACAGGACGTATATAATGTACACTCACCGGCCACTTTATTAGCTACATCTTGCTAGTGCCAAGGAAACATCCCCCACACTATATACACCCACCACCAGCCTGAACCATTGATACAAGGCAGGATGGATCCATGCTTTCATGTTGTTTACGCCAAATTCTGACCCTACCATCTGAATGTTGCAGCTGAACCAGTCTGTCCATTCTCTGACATCACAAGGCATTTTTGTCCACACGACTGCTGCTCACTGGATATTTTCTCTTTTTTGGACCACTCTCTGTAAAGCCTAGAGATGGGCGCGCATGAAAATCCCAGTAGATCAGCAGTTTTTGAAATACTCAGACCAGTCCGTCTGGCACCAACAACGATGCCACGTTCAAAGTCACTTAAATCCTCTTTCTTCCCCATGCTGATGTTCGGTTTGCGCTTCAGCAAGTCATCTTCACCACTGTATTGAGTTGCTGCCATGTGATTGACTGATTAGAAATTTGTGTTATCAAGCAATTGAACAGGTGTACCTAATAAAGTGGCCCGTGAGTGTATAACGAAGGTGCACAGACAGGAAACAGTGGATCTTCCTTTCTCACTTCATCAACCTCTAATGACTTTGGTAGTCTGTGAAGTGCCCCCCTTACATTGGTCATCGGTAAAGTACCCCCTTACATTGATGGTTGGTAAAATGAACCTTTACGTTGGCGATCAGCAAAAGGAACCCCTACTTTGGTGGTCAATAACTTGCTCCATTCATTGGTGTCAGCGAATTACACCCTTATACTGGTGGTCACTGCATTTTCCTGACTGTGGTGGTGAGTGAAGAAATGTTCGTTTGTAGGACAAGCCTGCATCGGAGGAGCAGGAGAGAAGGTGCTGCTGCTCGTGGCTTTGGGTTTTTTTCTACCATTCAGTGTGGCTCCAGACATTTAACCCTTAGGTTCTGCACATCACACAGTGAAAACTAAAGAGGAGGACTCTGGTCTGGAGACGTGACATGGATGAAGCTGTGACCAAGTAGAACCACTCTGTAAGAATATCCAAAGAGCGACAGGCAGCTTGAGCCATAGCTCTGCAAGGAATTGCTGTGTGAACTAGCAATGTACTCAGCAAGTGGGCAGTCCTGCCAAGGTCCCTCAGAATATGTGGGTCCTGGGTGGCTGCCCCAACTGCTCCGATTTATAATTTGCCACTGATCTGAGCCGACTCAGCCAGGACCATGCAAGCGCCCACAAACAGGTCCTGAGAGACTGGGTGAAAGTAGAGACTGCCCCACGTTTGTAAAATTGTTTACTTTCTGCATGCTCATTTAAAAGAACAAGATACAGTGCGACTTATAGCGCTGAGCAAGAGAGCCCGTCCTGTTCTATGACACCAAGGCCAGGAAAAGAACGTGTGATATATCCAACGAGGATCCAGGACTGAGAGTCATGTACAGAACACCAATAACAAGCAGGCAGGCAGTGTTAACAGGTGGTTCCAGGACACAGCTGAAGCAACAATCAAGCTTCCTGGTTTTGTTAGCATTTTCCTTATCTATGTCATTACTTGCAGACTCTCCTTGCAGCTCTGCTCTGAAAAGGCCTGGAGATGCCTGCGGCCTAATGCACTTAGGGAGGGATCGCTGTGAAAATAGCGACAACAGCTGCCAAGAACACTCCACTCCCACACACAAACACACATACACAAGCTATGCAAACACAAACACTTGGCCTACCTAGTAACCAGCACAGTGCAGACCATACTGTACAACTGTCGAACTAGGAAGAGAGCACAAGATACACACACCCACACCATGCCCCCAGGTATGGGCTTCATGAACAATTCATAGACAAGAAATGATCAGTTAATACCACAGACACTTTCATACACTTGTATGATGAAAACGTAATGGTGGAAAGAAGAACAAATATCCTTTTTAAATCAGTGCGTTATCTGGAGAAGAGAAAGGATAAATCCTATCAGGCTTCTACTGCTTTTCAGCTCTGTTAGGGCTTGTTTGCTTGTGGCAGCCTTTGCTCCCTGAAAAGAGATCCATGGTGGAATGCTTTTCACAGGGTGGTTGACAGACACCTGGAGGCGATAGGTCATCTCCTCACTGTTTAAAAAAAAAAAAAAAAAAAAAGCCCACACTGTTGCATTGCAAGCGCGTGTATTACACACAGTTGTGGCCCTATTTACTTGAATGGCTTGCGTTTGGCAATGGTACTGCCCATAGAAAGTGACATAGGGTATAACGTTTGCCATGGCCATGCATATGTACAACCTTGTCCATCAGCTTACAGGGGGCATATGATGGGGCAGTAAAACTTCATCTCAACCACCTATTTTTACCACCCATGTGAATGATTTTTTTTTAAAGATGACCTCAGGAGACCTTTCAAAATGCCCTGAATGCACTGAAAATAGTAAAAAATTAACTACTTCAGGCATTTTGAGAGAAATAGTGAGAGCAGAAGCAGAGAGAGCAGTATTTGTTGAGATTAGCTGTCTTTTTTTTCCAGTTTGTGGTGTTTGGATGTGTTCCACCTCATTTCTGTGCAGAAATTATTGCAGCAGTGTCTAACATATTCTTTCATGTGAAACCTCAAAATATGGTTTACCAGGTCCATTTGAGTACCAGGAAAAAACGCTTTGCATGCATTTTTCATGACGAAAAAAAAACTGGAAGCAGCATCTGGAAATGGAAGAGTTAAAAAAAAAATTTTCCAACCACTTGGTGCGTTAAAAAAAAAGACTGTAAACTCAACTGCCTGTAAACGACATGGTGTACATGGAAACATAGGAAAACATCAGGGAGAGTTCAGGGGTTGCTGAAAAAAAATGCAGAAAAGCTCCTAAATGTGAGTTTATCATCTGCAGTGTACATGGAGCCTAAACCTAAATAGATACCAACTACTACTACAGTTAACATGTACACATGCTGTATAGGTCAAAGTTCAAAATGGTTATCAGAACTGAAGATAAAACATTACACATTTCCTGTCAGCAACCAACCTCACTGAGTAGCATTATACCTAGCTGTAGGCAAAAGCTGTAGAGGCGGAGAGCTCCCTGAACAACACAGACGAGATCAAAGATCACCAGGGTCTAACATGTTTAAAAATGATAACCTAACAGGCCCCCAGCAGTGGTCAGGAATAGGAACTCATTCACAGTATGTATGGCAACTGGCATTTTTGTGCACTTGACTAATGCCAGTTGTCGCAAACGTGCACGCCAGAGACTGACGCAGTCTGCCATGTTGTTAAGAGTAGCATGTCATTCCCTCATTCTCCTTCCCCCTCCCTTCCTGAGAGGCACAGTGACAGATGTGTGTGTGTACGGTTTATGGGTCACTGGCCGGCCAAGGTATTTCTAGCTAGGTGCCGAGCTGTCTGTGAAAGCTGTATCCTTTCTCACATAGGAAGAGATAGGACCAGCTTTCCCAAGAGAGCTGGAGTCTCACTGGCCAAAGTACCTGTTTAATTTCACGCCTTGTGAAGGGATAGCAGAGCCTTCTAAGGAGTTGAAAGGGACTCTGAGCTAATAAACCTAGCTCAGCGTAGGTGACAGAATTAGATGAACACTTCTCAAATAATATTTTCCCCTATGTCTCATATCTTGGAATATGAGAGACTTACATAAAAAAAACCGGACACCTCGCCAGATGGCCAGATGAGCAGGCGAACAGTTTGATGGGTCACTCGCTTATCTCAGACCATCAGGGAAGCTGAAACTTAGAACTCGTGAACCGTGCAATATAAAATTTTATAATTCATATCTAAATAATCCTCAGACTTGTCTGCATAATAATATACCTGCGGGGGACCGTCGCTTGTGCAGATGGAAAGTTATGAACCAGAATATGAATTAGGAAAGATGTGGGCTCCAGTTTAGGGTTCCGCCCGACGATCCCTCCCTAAACAGAGGATTGGTCTTTTACTTCAGAACCACCCCCTGCTGGGAAACTTTAAAGCAGGCTGTCAAGCCTAAGAGCAGTAAGTTGAAGACATCTCCCAATTTTAACATCAATATACCACCTGGGGAGACCTGTGCCTTTTGCTCTGAAACATGATCTGCTTACATCCAAGGCTTAATGGCAAGTAACTTAACCATTTAACTTGTCCCTGTTATCTCTTTGCTGTTATATATATATAGCTCTTAGTTACATCTTCTCTGTAAATATTTTTATTGCACCCGTTTGACCCTTTTAGTAATAAATCTCTCTTTCTGAAAGTGTTGAACTGTTTCTACAGCTCTTAATTGCAATTTACGAATCCCTGCCTTTAAAGAGCCGCTGTTTGTTTTAAACCCTCTGCATAACCTGGTCATAATACAGGCCTGTTATACAGTCGATTATATCAACCATCACAGTGTTATAGCTGAACGCCGAGTTTCCTCTTTCTCTGATCAAAAAGAAGGTGGTGGCAGTGTGAATGGGTTGAGTAATTTATATATTTTTTTTAATTTAAATATTTATTCATTTTCCATTTAAAATACATATTTCATCGTTTCTCTCCTATAACATACATAACCGTCAGTTGTATCCAAATCATTAATTATATCCCTTTCTATCTTTATTCCCATTACCCCCCCTCCCCAAACCTAACACC